ATCTGCAGTGCACTGCCCGTGGAAAACCAAACCCAGAGTACATATGGTTGCTCCCTAATGGGACAATGCTGATGCCTGGTGTTGGACTACAACGCTTTACCCACCATCATGGTAACGGGAGTTTGTGGATCACTCACCTGGCTGAAAGCGATAAGGGAGTTTACAGGTGTCTAGCGAAGAATGTGGCAGGTCAAGCAGAGAAGCGTTATGCACTGGAAGCAGGAAGGAAGCCGGTGATCAGAGGGTCATCAGGTACAGTATATTTTTCAACTTTTATTTATTATATTTGGGTCAGATCTTCTTGCAGTACTGTAATATTTTCCTTTTGTAGGGGGAATAAAGATCACCTATGGCCAAACGCTCAACTTACCTTGCACGGTGGATGGCTGGCCGCAGGCATCGATCACATGGACCCTACCCAATGGCTTCACTTTGGATAAACCTCAGTCTATTGGCCGAGTTACTTTTCTTGCCAATGGAACCCTCCAGATGAGACAGATTGCTACTTTTGACAAAGGGACATACATCTGCAAAGCCTCCAACTCTTTTGGCACATCAACATTGTCATACCCTATCACAGTAATGGTTTATCCACCACACATCACCAGTATGCTGCCCTCCATCACCAGAGTGAACCGGGGATCACCTGTTAAGTTAAATTGTATTGCTACAGGTGTACCCAAGCCGGAAATCTCCTGGACTTTACCTGGCCGTACGACGCTAGTTCCACATAACCGCTACATAGTTCAAGGAGGGATCCACATGACAGAGGAGGGTAGCCTGGTCATACGGAGTCCAGTGCTCATGAACTCTGGTATCTACAAATGCAATGCTAAAAACGCTCTTGGAACAGATTTTAAATCTACTTACCTTCAAGTTAGCTGAGGGACACGTTGACACATTTCCTATTCTGGGACCATGGCCTTAACAAACACTCCCAGTACCCAAAGCTGGGTCAGGATTTGCCCATAATGAAGTTACTGTACTATTCTACATTAAGGATGCCAGAGAGACAAGCCACTCTAACTGGAAGCAGCTTAATTCTTGATATTTTTTCTTCAAGTAATAATCGCTTTGTTCAAATATGGCCTTTCTAGGTAATGCCCGGTGGCGACACTAGACCACTTTTAACCACTATTAATGAGTTGTGCCCCAGAATCAGACATGGACTGACCACCGGCGGCCAGAAAGGGCAAAAAAAAAATTGCTGCACGGGTGTTAATGTGTTGCAGCCACCCATAGTGTTTTCCAACATTCATTAATTTGCAACATGCTCGGGAAGGACACTCCCTTCAAAACATACATTTTCTCAGGAGAGACAGTGAAATCTTTTTCACAGCAGCACAGACTTACAGCAATGTTCAGTGGGCCCAGTAAGCTAGTCTATGTACATGTTTTTAAATTTTCAATCTATGTTTTAGTGAGCAATAACTTTTACAGTGCAGAACTCTTAATGAATGGACAAAACTTAATGGAGCATCGTATATGTATTTGTTTTTCTGTCTATTGGTCAGTTAGCAAGCTAAATCCTGGTTTATGGAGGATCAAAGATTGGCTGTGCCATTCTAATTCTACCGCATCAGCCATTCCCTTGATGGCATACTACCTCAAATGGTAAAAATAATGTCCTAGTATTCCTGTTATGGGTTCATCCATATGTCCAATCCTCAAAGCAAAATAAAAAAAGTTTGGTTAAGTTTTTTTTTTTATTTATAATTTTTTTGTATTTGTCCTACTTTTACTGTCTTATTCTGTCAAAATTACTATTGGGAAAACGTAATCAAAAAACAAAACCAGTGGTTGACTTGGATAGAAGTAGATTTCCTTTTACGGATTACGATGTGTATCAAAGTTGTTTTTCAACGCCAACCCAAATCCAATTGACATTTGGACGTTGTGTAAAATATAAATAAATACAAAATATAATTGTTTGCAAATTTTTCAAGTTTCCGTTATTCAGTTGACTCTACTAAAAAGACATCGCAGTGAACTGTATTAAATGTGCAAAATGATAAAAGTTTTTTTTTTAATTCAGTCATTTGGAATTTGATGCAAAACATTCCAAAAAGCTGTGACAGGAACATGTTTACCACGGTGTTATATCACCTTTCCTTTTAACAACACTCTTTCAGCGCTTGGGAACTGAGGACACTAATTGTGAAGGCTTTGTAGGTGGAATTATTTCCAATTTTTGCTTGATGTAATACAACAGTTGCTCAACAATCAAGGATCTCTGCTCTCATATTTTCGGGAAACAGGTCTGGACTTCTGGCAGGCCAGTGTAGTACTCACAATCTTATCCTACAAAGTTACCAGTATGCTGAGAATGGCTTGGGATTGTCTTGCTGAAATCAGCAGAGATGTCCCTGGAAAAAGACATTGCCTGGATGACAGCGTACTGTACATATTTCAGAATTAATAGTGCCTTCAGATGTACAAGTTACCCACGCTTTTGGTACTAACACACTCAATCACAGATGCTGGCTTTTGAACGATCCATATGGTCCTTTTCAACTTTGGCCCAGAGGACATGACGTACATGATTTCTCAAAACAATTTGAAATCTGGACTTAGTTGTTCACAAAGTGCTGAATCTCAGCTCATCCTTGCTTATAAACAACTAAGCCTTTCAAGGATGCTCCTTTTATTCCCAATAATGCTACTCACTTGTTTCCAATTAATCTGTACTCCTGTGCAATGTTCCTAACAGGTGTTTTTGAGCATTCCTCAACTTTCCCAGTCTTTTGTTGCCCCTGTCGCAGCCTTTTTGGAACATGTTGCAGGTAACAAATTCAAAATGAGAGAATGCTTGCAAAAACAAACAAACAAAAAAGACAACAATGTTCTACAGTGCTAAGCTCTGAACATCGTGCCTTTAGAGTTGAATACAAGTTGAAAATGATTTGAAAATCATTGTATTCTGTTTTTTATGAACCTTTTAGACATCCAAAATGTATTGAAATTTGGGTTGGTATATCCATCCATCCATTTTCCAATCCGCTTATCCTCACCAGAGCCGCAGAGGTACTGGAGCCTATCCCAGCCATCTTTTGAGGTGGTAGGCAGGGTACACCCTGAACTTGTCACCAGCCAATCGCAGGGGGTTAGTATATGTTACTTATCTTACTTTGGTTCCAATGATGCCATGATGATGTAGACTGCAGTATCTCTTAAATTCTATTAGATGTGTTTGAGGTGTCATTTTTGCTCAACAGAAGAGAAGACTTACTCATTTTGGCTGTTCTTTCAACTGCAGGCAGATTTCTGTTACACTTGGCGATGACCATGCCGATTATTTTAGATATTTTATTAAACACCAATTCAGTTAAATGTGCAGTTTTACACCTATTTGCTAATGGATGATACAGAGATCTGCTAATATGCATCAGCAATCAATCAGTTGGGACTTACAAAAACGTCTTATCCTCTCCTTTAGCACCACTTGGAGGTTAATTTATGTGGTACAACCAAAATATATATTTTGTACAAAATTAAGTCCACATATTTGACCATTAAATAATTAACTCACAGTGACTTTGAGTTTATTAGTATGCTGTAACAGTAACAACAAATAAATGTGACAGTGAGACCTGTGTCATTTACTTTTTACAATGCTTATATTTGTCGTACATCATATGTGATCATGATTTCAAATGTTATTTGCCTGATGTTTTTTCAGGCAAAATCATTTTCACCATTATTACATCACTTTTTTTTCCAAACTTTTGTTGTGCTGATTTCACAGTAATTAAGTAAAAAATACATTTCACTCACTATTGTGTGCTGGGTTATTAGGCGTTGAGCACTTTTTTTCAACGACTTAGTGTTTCCAATACAAGAGCTGAATAAATCAAAGTGATGTGTTGTACCCAGATGTGTATTCAATTTCACTGTTAGTTTTCACCAGAATGTGAATGTCTCCCTCTGTTTCACTTCAACAAATAAGTCTTTGATCAAGGAAGAAGGGAGCTTTGTCAGACAAAAATGTTAGGATTGTTCTTTGCAATTTGCGTGTGTGTTTGCTGTGAGTGTGTGTTACAAGATTATGTTTGTCGCTTTGAGAAAGAAAGAGTCTGTGCAAAAGAGATTGTGTCTGTCTGAGGGACTGTTCACAAATCGTGTGTGTGTGTGTGTGTGTGTGTGTGTGTGTGTGTGTGTGTGTGTGTGTGTGTGTGTGTGTGTGTGTGCAACAAAGACAGTGTCATCTCAACAAAAAAGAAGGGACGCTATTTGGCAGTGTGTGTCAGAATGGTGGCAAAGCAGCTTAAGCGTCTGGCAACATTTTTTAGGCCTATATTTTTGTAAATGCTGAGTGACGGGTGTTTTTGTCTTATAACAGCATTTACTTTCAAATTTCATTCTGCATTCTTGGTATGTTTTAATATGTAACGAATGCAATTAGATAAAAGATAAATGTCGGTCATCATGAAATCAATAACCTAGCGTAATAGGACTACTAAAACCTCAGATCAAAATCAGTGAACATAGGCTTTCTCATGAACATCTTTTTGGATTTGATACCTGACGAGAAATAATTTACTACAAAAAAATTAGCTTAATTGTACGTTCTCGGATTCTTATTGGCTTTTTGAGGTGCTGATGTATTCTGTGCCACCATACTCAGTATATCTGAAAGAGAAGCAAGTATTTTGAATACACCCTTTGACCATGTACTATGCACTTTTAATAAAATGTATTTTCTCATAGTGGTGTACTGAATTCGAAACCACTTTGTCTTAATCGGGTCTGGAATGTGACAACACAGCAATCCTGTGCATTACGGTCGCGTCGCTTCATGGAATGTGATGATACGCAGCTAATCAGATCACATGACTTGTGTGAGAACTCTTTGCGCATTCACACTCCAATACTAGGTTGCAGAGTAAAAAAAAAATCCATCAAAAATGAAACTGCATGGTGCATATTTGTTTGATTTGCAGGGCAATTGTAGCCGACGTTTCCACTCACTGGAAAATGTATTAAAGGGCAGCAAGCGCAATTAATCCCATTATGCACTGTCATATAGGTTTATTTGTTTTGTTTGTTTTGTGGTCGTAGTTTCCTGTATAATGTAGCTGAGAAGTGTTTTAAATTTGGTTTGACATTTGGTGAGTTGCATGAAAGGGATGAACAATTACAAAAATCTCTGAGTATGATAGCGCGGTTCTGCACCCGAATGCACACAGGTGAAAATGAACAAATGTGACAGTACAATCGAAATTATTATTATTAAGCGTCTTGTAGAATGTTGGATTCCGCTGGATTTGTACCCGAAGTCCTCTTTGTGCGCTCGTGTGTTTTTAAATGTGTCTCCAAGCTGACGGAGAATCTCGCTGGTAGGGCACATGAAAGTCTCCTCCTTCTTTCCTCCATTCTCTTCCGTTTCCCCTCCCTTGCCTCCATCCGCCCATTCGTCCATCTCTACTCTCCACTCAAGCATCCCGATTTTCGCATCGCCTCCTCCGGCATAATGACCAACGATTCCCCCGAGGAGGAGAGCCGAGGAAGGAGGGTGACTCGGCCGAGCCGAGCAGACGACAATGTCACCATTCTGACATCATCCATGGATGTTTACAGAAGCCGGAGCCGAGCCAGTAGCAGCAACGACGCTGGCGCCAGCTTCACGTCCTCCGCGGACCTGAGCACCTCCTCCCTGGAACTGAGCATTCAGACGCGGATTTTTAAGATAATCGTTATCGGGGACTCCAACGTGGGGAAGACGTGTCTCACTTTCCGCTTCACTGGGGGGAGCTTTCCGGACAACACCGAGGCCACCATCGGCGTGGACTTCAGGGAGAAAGCGGTGGAAATTGAAGGAGAAACGATCAAGGTAACATTGAAGCTTGCGTGGATGGGAATTGGAGGTGTTTCCTTGTTCCCTCCCCCTCATCCACATCCTCCACCTCTAATGGAGCAGGCCTATAAAATGCCACAGCTCCGCTTATCACTCACCGATTTCAGAGATGATTGATGATTTTTATTTCCCCTTTTTTTCTTCATTGTTTAAGTCAACAGTGACTGTTCGTTCATGTCCAAAATGGTATTACGACTTCATAGTAATCGTTTGGCATTGGTTAATAGCTGCCCCTGTGGTTAAATTAATAAAGGCAACATCATTGAGGGATCTTCATCTTGAATTTTGTTGCTCCTGAAAACATTTTTAAGCAATGTAATGTAGAAAAACCTCTTCCTCTTGTTTGTCATGCCAGTTTATTGGAGTGTTGGACAAAGCAAGCTGATGATCACTCACTTTACCTCCCATTTCTCTTGTTCAGTGACGGAGCTAGACTTTTCACCTTGGGGTGGCCAAGGCTTTCTTAAGGGGTCCGCAAATGATGACAACAAATGTGTTTCTTCAACCATACATTTCAGTCAGTCTCAAAATGTGTTAATATATTTAATAACATGTTAACCACACAATAGAAGAGATTTGTGAACATAACGTGAACGAAAAACAAAAACTTGGAAACACTTGATCAGCAATCATCACCCATCTTTTTATTTAATACACTTTGAGTTGTTCAGTCAGCCATCTCATTTCCTTCACGTTGTGTCACTGGTTTTGCTGTGTGGCATATTGGTGTTCTGGTATCAGAGGTGCAAAATATTTGTGATTTATTTTTTTTTTTGGGGGGGGTTGTATCTAGCTAACGGTTGCAACATTAATTAGTAAACATTTTAAAGAAATGATACTTCAAATTTGAAGATGCAATGCCAATCAATTTGAAAGTTATGTAAAAAGTGGATGACAGAAATTTGTAATTTATGTTATTTTACAATGGTAAGTACTTAACTGTACGGAAGTATGATTAGGCGTGCAAATATTTGTTTGTCAATGCGTGCCCTGCGACTGGCTGGCACCCAGGTCAACGTGTACCCTGCCTACTGCCCAAAGTCAGCTGGGAAAGGTGCCAGCTCACCCATGACCCTTGTGAGGATAAAGCGGAATCAAACCTTTGCACCTCTGCACTGTGAGGTGGACGTTTGATTTTGTAAGCAGAATTCATTCTCTAATAATAAACAGCTGGTTTTCTTCTTTCAAATGGAAATAGGAAATAAATCAGCATTGTTTTTATTCTAACAGAACTATATTGAGTGCTATGAAACATTTATTGTAACATTCAAAAACACCTGCTCTGTTCAGAGAAAGAAGTAAAGATCACTTCCTCTTAGGGCCTCTGTTTAAACTGACATATGTGAGTGACAAATATTTGTGTTGGCAAATGTATTTTTTTTTTAATTTTTATCTAACCAGGAAAGGTACCATTGAGTAAAATAACTCTTCTCACAGGGAGTCTTGGCTTGTGTATGAAAAGTGCTATATAAATAAAGCTGCCTTGCCTGTGATTGACGAGTGACAAGCGCAGGTCAAGTCCACTCTAAATTTTGCCTGAAGTCACCTGAGATAGGCTGTGTGACCCTGGACCCTGGACAGTGTTCGCATTACTGCAAATGGATGGTTGGATACGCTAAGCAAAATGTTTATCTTGGCATTGGCGATACCTGACATGGGCATCAATTTTTTCTATGTATAGTGCACTTGAGTGATTAAATCTAAGATGCAGAATCAATTATACCCCAGCCAAGGTAGACACAATTGGTATCTTCAGTCTTGCTGATGATTTCAATTTTTAAAAGTTGTGACTTCAATGGGACACTAAAACAAGCGTTGGACTATGTTGAGAGCCTTCATAGGATTTGTATCGAAAATTCAGATTACTGTATGCAATGAATTTGTGGATATTCAATCTATATTGCAGCCATTAACTTCCAAATTAATGTTTTAGGTCTTCACAACAGATATGTCAATAGATGTAGGATGAAGAAGAGACAGGGGAGTGGATTTTCACTCCGTGCCATCCCACTCTCACAGAAAAATCCCGTCCCAGTCTTGGACCATAGTTAATTTTTTTTTTGTATAATCTAGCCCATTCTGGTCCCAGTGAAAACAACTCCCACACCCATCCTGAGACTGTTCAGAATGACTCACACTGCTGTACCGCTCACATTTTGGAAATCTGCGACATTAAAAATGTCTGGGCACCTGTACAAGGTTTTTTATTTTTTTTACTAGATAATTCTGCTCGTGTCTGATGAAAATGACATTGCAGTGCCAAAGGGCCAGTGTTAAGGTTTCCGCTTGCGAATGCCACACGATCAGATCCAGAAAACTGGTTGGCTGTGATTGGTTGTTATCTGAGCCCTGGGCAACTGTGATGTCTTTTTCAGTCGACAGCAAGTGGCAAAATGGCAGCCGCATGAGATGGAGAAAAACAAGTGGATTTTGCTGCTTACTTCATAGCCCACAAACGCCATATCAGTTTAGACTTGTGGGGGCGCATACAACATATTCCAATTTTGTTAAGTTACTTTAATTTGATGTGAACATAATATTGGATCCTTATGTTTTTCTACTTATGAAACATACTTTATACTCGAAAACAAACACAGAGGGTGGATGATCAGACACATTGCGGTTCCTTTGACCATGCATTCTAGCTTTCATGGTTAACAATTAAAGCATGATTTGTTCATTGTTTTTTGTCCCTTGAACAGGCTTTCCTGTTCATCATAAAATATATGCATTCAGAAGTTTTGCACCGTCAGCTATATGCTGTGATGTTATTGGTCAGAATCCTTTGTCACTATGGCAACCAAAATTGACACTGCTAATTCATGTCGGTTTTGGTTAATAAATACAGAGACAGGATATTCTGGCTGTTAAGTCGTGTTTTCTTAGAGCGCGTGTGCGTGAGGTTTTGGAGAGACCACAAAATAATGTTTTGCAGGGCTGTTCGTGAAATATCTGCAAGTTGAGTCGATGCAAATAAAGGCTGTTTTTCTCAAAATTCTCTCTGGTTATTGAATTAATAGTGAGAACCACACATTTATTGTTTAATATTTTCATCTGAAAAAAGACTTATCTCATCTTCAGGTGCAGGTATGGGACACAGCTGGCCAGGAGCGATTTCGTAAATCCATGGTGGAACACTACTACCGTAATGTCCACGCAGTAGTCTTTGTTTATGATGTCACCAAAATGGCTTCCTTCCGCAATCTGCAAACATGGATAGAGGTGAGTTAAACAACTTGTATAATTTGTTCACAGCCATTTATCCTCTTCCTTCAAGCTTCTAGTGTTATCTCCAAAGCTACTGCTAGACTCTGGAGGGTTGTTTGGATGTTCGCTTTTTCATTGCTCTCCTGCCAATAATTCAAATTATTAATCTGAGTTGGACATTGATGACAATTTTTAAAAAAAAGTTCTTTTTTTTTTTTTTCGAATTTGCTTGGACATTTTAATTTTACTGAATCAAGTGTTTCCTTTTATTGCAGGAATGCAACGGTCATCGAGTTTCAGCATCAGTACCTCGAGTACTAGTGGGGAACAAGTGTGACTTAGTGGACCAAGTACAGGTCAGTAGACTGAAGCAGTCCCGACAACCGAGGGCAGAAGATGAAAATGGGAAGAATAATTGAATGCTGTAGTCAATTAATTGTCGAAACTTGTTTTCAGTCTACAAACAAACAACATACGAGTCTCAGACCTCGATGGCAACTCTCGGCAGAATTAATCTGTTCAGTATGAGAGATTTGTCCATTAGAAACAACATCTAAAAACATAATAATTGACTACTTAGCAATACCTTCTTCCAAATTCATCCCTCATTACAATAAATAAATAAAAAGAAACATGCATCGTAGGCGAGGGTGTCCCCACCTCTCACCCAAAGTCCCCATGAATATGTTGCAGCTCACCCGTGACCCTAACGAGGACAAGCAATAAGGGAGTAAGGAAAATGAGCTAATGAGTCATAATAATCACTTCTCCAGGTGCCGTCCAACATGGCGCTGAAGTACGCAGACTCCCACAACATGCTGCTGTTCGAAACATCTGCAAAGGACCCACGAGAGAGTCAGAATGTGGACTCAATCTTCATGTCACTGGCCTGTCGACTGAAAGCCCAAAAATCCCTTCTCTACAGGGACGTGGAACGGGAGGACGGGAGAGTGCGACTCACACAGGAGACTGAGACAAAGAGTAATTGTCTTTGTTGAGGAAAAAATGCAATTGGTCGGAGTAATCGGAGAGAATATGCTGCATCAGAATAACGGTGTACGGCATGGAGGTGGAGGAGAGTGAGGATGGGGGTGTAAAACAAGAGTCTTAATGTATTTTTACCGGTTCAGGAGCAAGATGATGCTTCTGACTGACAATGAAAGCAACATGTCCTACGGAACAGAAAGAGAGGCCCTGGACTTCAGCACAAGGACAGAAGAAAAATGTGCTCATGATGTATCGAAGGAAAGATAAACATTGAGGTTACACAGTGATTATGAGTTCTGAAATGAGTCTGCATTGTTTCACTTTTGATGAACCGTATAAGGTATTTTATAAGGCAGGGGTCCCCAACCGCCGGTCCGCGGACCGGTACCGGTCCGCCGGACATTTGGTACCGGGCCGCACAGAAAGAACTTGCCTTAATTCCGTTTTAATTATTTCGGAATACGAAAGATGTTTTATTTTGAAAACTTACCGGATTCTCCGTTACATCCGTCTGTGTCCAGCTTGACACACGTCAAGCCACGCTTCTTCGGAACGTGACCAATTAGGCTAAAAACAAACACCGGAGCTCGCAAAATGAGTAAAAAAAAACTGCTGGAGATCGCAAATGACGGCGGCCTTAAAAGTACGTTCGAGACAACTGGATTAAAGTTATGGCTGAATACTCTGAGATCGCCACAATAGCACTGTTGCTATTTCCGACATCCTACCTGTGTGAGGCGGGGGGGAATTATGCAGCAACGGCGACGAAAACAAAATTACGAAGTAGACTGGACATAAACCACACACTTGAGGTGTCATTGTCTCTCCTATTACCCCGAGATGGGACCGTCTGGTTGCAGAAAATCAAGCTCGGTGCTGTGGTGAGTCGTCATTTTCATGCACTTTGAATTTGCGTTGTATCGTATTTTGAAGGCATTAAACATTGCCATAGCGACCGGAGTGTTGCGGCCAGATTAGACGCTCCTTGTGTTTATTATTATATTTCGAAAACACCACAGTTTTCATGCAGCTCATACCATATTATTTTGTTGTATTATTTCCGCCACACCTTAAATGCCGGTCCCTGAAAATATTGTCTGACATAAACCGGTCCGTGGGGCAAAAAAGGTTGGGGGCCCCTGTTATAAGGTATTGCTAAGCAGTGGCCTCCACTCGGAACAGGTGCCTCGATGTGAAGCCAATAGTGGAGTTAAAAGAGAAAGTATTTGCCGGAGGAAAGAATTAGGGATGGCGGGCGGGGGGAAAAAAACAAAAGAATGTGCTTATGTCTGCTAACAAAAGCGCACTGTACTGGAGAAAGAAGAAAAAAAGTATGATGCTCTAACATATAGAACAATACAATGCCATATAGAATATACAGTCCATTTATAAAGTATTGTCGTGCAAATGATTTCATCAAGCATCATTATTTGTTTGTGAACTCATTTAAATATAGAATATGATTACCGGTAATTAAAACCATTTGTACAAATAAAGGCCTCCCCCAAATCACAGCCTTACCATTAATAGGCTTTCATCTATGAAGTTGAGTAATTAAACCCCTGGCCACTATATGACTGAGTAGGGTGTGTTAACTTTGTTAAGACTAGTCAAAATGACTTGATGAAAGGCTGTTTAAAGACCCAGCACAGTGTGCTTTATAACTGTGAGTGTTCTTAACACGTTGTTTCCGATATTATTTTGATCAGAACAAACAGAATTTGCCATGCTCATCATATTACCTTTGCCTTAAGAATTGCATCTCCGAGATTGATGAACCAGTCAGCCGACAGGAGTACAGAAACTACAGATCGGATCAGGGTTTGTATCATTTTGATGTTTCAAAAAAATGACTTGGGTCAAATCACTGTGAACAAATGAATAGAGGGGAAATGCCACACATCTCAGACACAGTAAAGGTGTGGAACACACCAGGTAAAAAAACAAAAACTAAACATTTATAGAATTGTTGCTTCTTAACCAGAGGGGAAATGCGTTCTCCTGTTTGACATGCTGTATATATACAGTCTAATATCCTTCTCCTGCTTTCCCTGGTGCAGTGGCTTTTCCCATTTTGCCTTCATACAAATGCAAGGACACCAAAATGCAATGTGACTTTTGGTCAGGCACAGTCATTCTTACATTGTTATCCCTTTCTCTCAAGTTCATGTACTCTACATTTGTATCATTGCCGCCATTTACCTCGAAGACAGTTGGAAAACTCTCGACCAGGTTAAAAAAGTGATGATCGCTATTTACGGTCCACAGACATTTACCGTAATATGCTTGACATTGAGAGAGCTTCCACAGTAATTGATGGGTCAAGGGACACAGTGCTGTGGTTCATATGGAGATCATTCAGATCAATGAGCATTTGAGTAAATCCTCCAAGATGATGGTCTAAATGATAAACTGAGTAAACCGCCTGACTTCTGCCATGCCGGCTCTTCTTCATACTACGTGTAGCTTCATGTTTGTTGTTTTTCAGTTTTTAATGTGCTCAGACATCATGTACGGTAGTTGCGCGTTGTAAGACGACTCTGACTTGAGGCTCCAAGCAATGTAGAGCGTAATGAGCTGTATCAAATTATATATATATATATATATATATATATATATATATTCAAAAAGATGAATGAATGACGAGTGCCTGTAAATATTCTCATTCATCCAGCTCATTGTACTCTCATGGCACTTTATTGAGAGCATGGAGTGTTGGTGTGGAAACCCAAGTGCAGATTTTATCCTCGAAGGCACTGTGGATGCACATCCGAGCCAAGAATGCTAAAAGTGGCAGTGGCCTGGCCTTCGAGGTGCCTCCACAACCATTGTGACAACTTACAAGTTGAATAAGAAATATTAATGAGGGTGATTCCACCCAAACATTGGCTGGCAGAGTAGAGCAGCAGTTTGCAACCTTTTTTCAATGATTTACCCCCTGTGAAATATTTTTTCCCCCCAGGAAACTAAAACAGACTCGAAACAGAGTGCTGTGCCACCAGTGTCTGATTAATTAAACTTTGGAATTCCATTTGTAGTGGTGTGTGTCGAACTATGAATAACTAACTATAAATAAAAAGACATAACTACAAAAATACATAAGTTAACTGTAAATAAAGCTTGCACATATAAAATATCACCGACATAAAGTGTCCTCATATATATATATA